TAAACAGTGAACGGTATCTAGCAACACATCACTGCTACCCAAGTGACGAGAACGTCGTGTGATCTGGCATAATCTTATGTCATAATGATCATATGTAAAATTACTCTTTTTCCCTTATATCTATATAGAACACGGGGCATAGAATGTGTCACCCTTGTATAGTCCAATATTTTATTCTTTGATCCTTAAGTATACTTGATAACAACAAATAAGCTCAATATCTCATATCAACTTATTTGAGCACAACCATATATTTTATAATCATACTCTATCAAGGGGCCTACAGATATTACTCTGTATATGTAGGAGGGACAAATCTCATCTAGGTCACTCATGTCACTCAACGTGATTTGTAAAGTAACCAAAAACCATCTTTATGGTCATCTTGTTACGGACGACGTTTGATTGGCAGTAAAGTATTCGACTTCAGATCTAGGGTCCATAGTGGTTTTCATGTCGAAGAGTTTACACCATTATCACTATGAGAAAGACTTATGACACTTACATAACAAACTATGTAGTATTCTCATGGTTGATCAATCTATTATAAATATTACTCTTAATATTTATACCTACGTGAAAACTTGATATCTCATATGACTTGTGAGATACAGTTATTAGTCTACTTTGACAATAAAGCTTGAATACAGATAATTTAAAAATAATGTATTTATGTTTAATAAAGTCTCATGATTAAGTCACACTTAATGTATCATTAAACAGAATAATTATTCTAAGGACTTTATTATGTCATATACAAGTAACACAGGAAATACAACGGGTAATAAGTATATATATTAACAAACTATATATATATATATATATATATATATATATATATATATATATATATATATATATATATATATATATATATATATATATATATATATATATATATATATATATATATATATATATATATATATATATATATATATATATATATATATATATATATATATATATATATATATATATATAAAGGTCATGATACAAAAGCATATACAGCCAATATTGATTGGCTATTAGGGCTTACTCCAACAACATTGATTTGGCGGCACAACAATTGTATCTGAATCGAAAAAATAACCCCCACCCCCAAACAAAGGAACCAACCATAGCTATTTAAGAAAAAAGAAAGTGGGTGAAACATATTATAAATAAGAAAATCAAATACAATTTGAAAGGAACTATAGGCATTTCTAAATGTTGAAAAAAAGATTAAAAACAATGTAATCATGCATGCATAATATTAACGCAAGATTATTACCATAGTGAGGTGAGGTGAGTGTGTTAGATTTTAGTGGCACATGACTTGATTCAGGCACAGACCTTTGATTCAAGACATGGGTCTGAAAAGTTGTAAGAGAGGTGTTGTTGTTCGAAGAATCGTGTGCTAAAACCGAGTGGATATTTCAGAGTTAAATATCAGATGGATACGGCCGCCCTTAGCACGTTGATGGTCAGATTCCCCAAGATGATGTTGTAAGGGGGCATGGTGTCCACGATGAGGTTGCTTCGTTGATGGTTTTGACGTTCGGTCCCTCGTCGCATGTGATTTTTAGGGTCACTTTGGCCATTATTTGTACTCTTTCGCCAGATAATCCTATCAGAAATCCACTGAACTATGTATGTCGTCTAGATTCAGATGCAACTTCTAGAAGACATCCCAAAATAGGTCATCGGCAGAGCATCCCGAGTCTAGCAGGACGCGCCTGATATCCCAGTTGCCATCAGCAAAGCATCATTGTCGTGAGGGTTGATGTCCAAGGCATCTTCTTTAGAGAAAATGATGTTAAACCATGACCTTCCGATGGTGTTTCAAGGAAACCCAGAGGGTATGATGTTCGCCGTAAATACCTACTTCGCGTATCTTCTTCAGGCGGCTCTGGAGAAGCTCCTCCCGGAGATACCTCTAACAATGGTGTTGGCTTTGTGATGCAGGATCCTATTAGCCATCTATATAGAAAAAGGGGGGGGGGGGGGGGGGGGGGTAAAAGTGTTAGAGTGAAAGATGTGGTCCAGGTTAGTTTTACTAGGACCCCACAGTGGGCGCCAATGTACTGGTAAAAAAATACAGGTGTGCACGTTCCCTCTGTAGGAGCAGGAAAGCTCATAGGTCTTAGTAGGAGTATAACATGTTCTGTTAGCGAAGACTTGCTCATTGCGACCAAAAGTCATATGTGGTAATTTTTGTGACTGTTTAAAGGACCAGCTCACATGCGGTGAGAGACCCCCTACAAGTGGTCGACACTACTTGATTGTAGATGAGCGATTATGTTAGTTGTGCACATTTAGACGGTAAGGAGCGTGGTATTCTTGGAGTTGTAAGGGGTTTGTATGACTTGGAGTCTATCTTTTTCAGTTTGAGTGGTAATGTATTTATAGGGGTATCTTAGACCCAAGGTTCTTTCAGAAAAAGTCACCGCCCACTTAGTCAAATAGTGGACACTTGAATCCCTATTTACTAGAAAAACGTGAGTCAGTAATTGTCATTCCTTCCTATTTATCTTATACACGTTTTATCCCACGTTTCTCTTGCATAAGCAAGGAAGACTTGAGGGTGAGTGATATCTTCCACCGGCCGACCTAATGTTGTCGCCTCCTCCTAAGACAATCCTAGGAATCACTCTAGACAAGACCTCTTCCATATATAACACTACAATATTTTATAACAAAAATATATATTAATAAAGATCAAATCATAGTCAAAATCACAATTTTTTCAAAAATATATATCTCAAAATTGATTTTTAGGAAAAGCTATTTGAAATAGCTCAAATTTAAGTATTTTTTTTTTAAAATTTTGATATTCAAAAACAAAAAATTATAACAAAAAGATAAAATACTTAAAATAATATTTTAAGAATAATTATTTAAACTATATTATTATTTAAAACATTTTTTAAACAGTAGTTCTTTCTAAATAAAAATCAACAAAAGTATATTCCACTATAAAAATCAATTTTAAAAAATTGAAACAAACTTATCCTTAATTTTTTCAATCAATTTGTGTATAAAATAACTCACATGATTAGAATTATCTTAAATAGAATGTTACATTAAGTGCATCTTTTTATAATAATTTAAATTAATATTAAAATCTCGTTTAAATGATTTTAATGATCATTTTTAAAAGTTTAAAATGTGTGTTTTACTTATTATGGTTTATCTGTGACAAAATGTGAGACATGTGTTGTGGACTGCTATGGACACCCTCATATATGACTCTAAATACAAGTTTTTATGAATCAGAATAGAAAATGATTTTCCTCACAATAAAACCGTGCAGAGGTTCTAAAACTACAATCAGAAGTTTGTACTGTTAAAATACCAAAATATTTCAACTTTATTTTTCTTTGATATGTGCTTTCACGGGTCTATTTTGCTTAATAAATGTTTGATTTATATAACTAAAAATGAAGAGATGAAAACCCTTGTATGACAGAGTCTAAAACTATAATCAGAAGTCTGAAAAGGCTTGCTTTCACAAGAACACATTCTCACGGCAGTATACATCATTTCCTGCAAAAGGAATAAAGAATTAGAGTTTATGGATAAATTCAAGAAACATATCACTACAAGCATGGAATTACATATCACTACAAGCAAAAGATACAAACAAGAAACATATCACTACAAGCATGGAATTACATATCACTACAAGCAAGATACAAACAAGAAACATATCACTACAAGCATGGAATTACATATCACTACAAGCAAGATACAAACAAGAAACATATCACTACAAGCATGGAATTACATATCACTACAAGCAAGATACAAGCAAGAAACATATCACTACAAGCATGGAATTACATATCACTACAAGCATGGAATTACATATCACTACAAGCATGGAATTACATATCACTACAAGCAAGATACAAACAAGAAACATATCACTACAAGCAAGATACAAACAAGAAACATATCACTACAAGCATGGAATTACATATCACTACAAGCATGGAATTACATATCACTACAAGCAAGATACAAACAACTAACATCCTAACATTTGTCGTTCAAAAAAATAAAATGAAAAATATGCAGTGAAATTCATCTATCTCAAAACAATTCTCCATAAATCCAGAAGTAGGGTATACACAAACTGCATAAACAGTGTTAAAAAAGAAGCAAAGTTCTTAAAAAGTATTTGTGGCGAATATACAAACACAGTGGTTGCACATACTTTAGCAACAAAAAACCATTCAAAGATGAAGTTATTATAAATACAACATACTTGGGGACAAGGGCAAGCCAGGTTATATTGTGACTCTAAAAAAGTGAGGTTACAATTTCAAGAAAGTAAAAATGACTAAGCACAAATTTTCTCTTGAAATTGAAAGTCATCAGAATATGCTAGAACCGCCAAATACTAGTCTACTTACTCAGGTGAGTGATTGGATAAAGAAAAGCGTATTGACATGAGATGGAAAATAAAATCCGAAAAGAAATTCAGTAGAAGAACGTTTTGGGATTACATTGACAGCACAGAAATTGAATCTGAATAGTTGAACAAGTGAGCAGAGAACAAATAAGGCCAAAAGGGAACCTGTGGACTTTAGCACAAGGATGAAAATTACATAACCAAATGTTGTTTTGAAATGGTTGATTTGCACGTCAGGCTTGGTTAATCTATGTGTTAATGCCTTAATCCAGTAAGGGTTCAGTCTACATTAAAGAAAGGGGTCGGCATGCCATGGCTTACACAGCAACAAAAAAAACAATGCAGTTTCAAATGAAGTGTGGCAAGAATTAGTATTTTAAAAAAGGATATATAAACAATAATAGAACTAATAGAAAAGTGTCAGCATTCCATCAAAAAAGAAAGTGGGTGAAGCATATTATAAATAACAAAATAAAATACAATTTGAAAGGGACTATAAGCATTTATAAATGTCGAAGAAAAGATTTAAAAAAATGTAATCATCCATGCATAATATTAATGCAATGCAAGATTATTACCATGGTGAGGTGAGGTGAGTGTGCTAGGTTTTAATGGCACACGAGTAGACCACAGGCGCGGGCCTCGGATTGGAGACTTGGGTCTGAAAAGTTGTAAGAGAAGTGTTGTTGTTGTTGTTGGAAGAATCTTGTGCTAAAAAGGTAATGTAATACATGGCACCAGGGCGCCAAGTAGTCTTGACAATGTCAGCAAACACAAAATGTGTATCCTAAATTAAAAGATTAATTAGTTGATAGATCAAATGAATGAATGAATAAACATAATAAATAGCACTAGTTTTGAACCTTGTCAGCATTGTATTTGTCTAGAGCAAGCTTGCAGAGGGGAGTGATTTTAAGACGAATACGTTCGGTTATAGGAATGGGTCGTGGACCACCACCACAATTTTCTGACATTAATACTTTTGGGCGGCAGATAGCATCGAAAGGCTGTGTTTAGCATAATCAAAATTAAACAAGAACTTGAAAACAAATCAATTGAAATAGCAAAATGAGAAAGCAAAATTACATCAAATCAATTGAAATAGCAAAATGAGAAAGCAAAATTACACTTAGGTTGCGAGAGCGTTCTCTATAGTCATCCATGGCGACTTTAATTTCCTCATCTAGTTTAATCCGAGCCTTATTCTTATACACAAAACGTGGGCACATAAACTGGAAAGGCTTGGGATCATCGTCATACATAATAGAGAAATCACTCATCTTAAGCTTTTTCATTGATTTGGCACTCAAAAGATATTCCAGTTTCGGTTTACATTGTAAATCCGATTCCGGTTCCAAATTGGGTTGTAATTCCAATTCCGGTTGAGGTTTAGATCCCAAATTGGGTTGTAATTCCGATTCCGGTTCCAAATTGGGTTGTAATTCCGATTCCGGTTCCAGATTGGGTTGTAATTCCGATTCCGGTTCCAAATTGGGTTGTAATTCCGATTCCAATTTGAGCAACTTACCTCTTTCTGGCAAGCTTTCCGAGGGAGGTCGGGTGACGCCGAACGAATCGGTATTGAATTCCATTGAAACCAATCACAAGTGAGTCGGTCGAATGCACGCAAACCCTAAACACCGATTCTCTATATATTTATAACCAAGTGAATCGGTTTACTTTTTCTTTGGGCTTGTCTGCTTACGACCCACCCGCCCACTACATAGATTCTTTTATATTCCTATCATATTATCTCCCGTGTCTCCCTAATAGTAGAATATTGGTATGGTACACTGATTTTTTTATAAAATATAATTAAAGTGATACTAAAATTGTTCAACCTATTTAAAAGATATAATAAATTAATGTTCATAGTTGATTTTTTAATCAATAATATATTATTTTTGAAATAAATATAATTTTTGTTTTGATCTTATTTATAAAAATATTATAATTAATAATAATTTTTTTTTCATTATTATTTAATATTTTGATCACTAACTTCATGTTTTCGTTATAATTGTTTTATTTTTGTATTTTAAAACATAAATTAGTATGTGTATTTATTTCAAAAATGTAATAAATTTATTACCGTTTATAATAATAATAATTTTTTCATTAATTTTTTTACATATTTAAAAAAATGGTTAATAAATTCATATTATTCAATATTTGAATAATTAAAGTTAATCTTGTTTATAACAATAAGATTTTTTTTTATTTATATAAATAATTTAATCAATAATTTATTTTTTCTGTATATAAATATATTGTTTTTATTTTTACATTACTTATATATTGTTTAGTATATTTGACATTTTAAATAAATATTTTTTTAAAAATAATATATTAAAATAAAATAAAATTTATCATATTGAAATTTAAATTTATCTTCGAAATCTACTAATTTAAAACCTACACAACTTTCAAGAGATACATTTGAGAGTCTAATTCAAAAACTATTAAATTGAAGATTAAATTTGTCTAAGATTTGGAGTAAATATTTAAACCTAATCTTAAAGACAGTATAATTCTTCTCATATGTAATTGAGTTGTCTCATGAACCTAAGGAGTCGAATTATGTATAGTTCAATTCAGTTCATTTAGTTAACGAACTTAATTTTTCGCTCATAATCAACTCATTTGGTTCATGAATACAGTTCAACGATTTAATTGTCGAACCGAATTTTGAACTATTTTCGAGTTGGCTCGGTTCATTGCCAGCCCTAGTCGTACCCCAAATTTTACACTTAGATTCTTTGATCCTTACATATCATTATAGGACAATCATCCATGCATTAATTAACCGTTTTAACCGGTTTGTTTGTTTTGTTTTATGAAGTCAGGTTTGTTATAGAGAGTTTCAAAGATCATGAGAGCTTTATATGTGGGCTCATAGTCTTTAGCCAACCGTGGTTAAATTCCCGTGAAAAAGGAAGGATTTGCCTTTATTCTTATAACCCTTTGGCAAATACAAGGCTTATGATCAATATGTTTGGGAATGGAGAATTTGGAGGAAAATATTGAATCACAATTTATCAAAGTTGAAGTTCGTGTTCTTTATAAGAATTAGAATTGATTCATTATTTCTACGACCTCCATGGTTCAAATTCAATTCAAGGTTGTTATGCAGAGATACAGAAAAGAGTCATATGAAAAGAGGTTCTCTAAACACAAGTTGATTGCAAAAGGGTTCTAGAATTTATGATGAGGATCTCTAACTAAAACTATCCCTCCGTACTAAGTTCAAGCGCAAAGAGTTTAATCCCAAGATTTTAAGATTCATATCTTTCACTAAATTCAAACTGAAATATCAAAATTCAAATCCAAATGAACATTCAAGTTATGATTTCAAAGGAGCCCAATCTTATTCGACATGAAGTAATCCATTCCTTGGTGCATGGATGGTGCATCTATGGATGATGCATCTCTTCACACTGGAGGATCTATTCCTCATCGTTTGCATTGGAAAAGAATGGTATTATAACTTTTCTTTATATTTTATAAATTAGTATTTATAATAAATGACATTATTATTTTGTAATTGATAGAAAAAGGAAAATGGTGTCGATCTATCTGAGTTTTATTTTTGCACTCATCGAAAAAAGGATCAAAGTTGGGTGGGTGTTCACGCCGAATCTGCATATGTAAGTACTCCGAATCAATTTCTTAAAGAATGAATCTTCGAAAGTGTAAACCATACCTTCATTCTTTTTGTTTCGATATTATTTATAAAAAATATTATAATTAATAGTAAATTTTTTCTCATTATTATTTAATATTTTGATCACTAACTTCATGTTTCCGTTATAATTGTTTTATTTTTGTATTTTAAAAAATAAATAAGTTATGATTTAATTAAATTTTTCTTCTTCTATAGTTAGTATGTGTATTCATTTCAAAAATGTAATAAATTTACTACTGTTTATAAAAATAATATTTTTTTTCATTAATCTTTTTACATATTTAAAAAAATGTTTAATAAATTCATATTATTCAATATTTGAATAATTAAAATTAATCTTGTTTATAACAATAAGATTTTTTTTCATTTATATAAATAATTTAATCAACAATATATAAATATATTGTTTTTATTTTTACATTACTTATATATTGTTTTTTTCCGTCGATAAATTTCAATTATTCATTATTTAGATCGGTAGTAAAATTGATCCCACTTATAACAATAATATTTGCTTTCGTATATAAAAATATTTTAATCAACAATGTATTTTATCCTGTGTATAAATAATATTTTAGTTTTGACATTGTTTATAAATATATTTGAATCAATAGTAAACATGTTTTTGTTTCTAAAAATATTTGCATCAAAATATTATTTTTCTTTTGATAATATTTATAAATATATTTGAATCAATAATAAAATTATTCTTGTTTATAACAATAATATTTTTTTTTACATAAAAATATTTTAATCAACAATGTATTTTTTTCATAATCTAATATTAAATTTTTTTTAACTATTTATAAAAATATATGAATCAATAATAAAGTTGTTCGCGTATATAAAAATATTTGAATCAAAATATTATTTTTGTCTTCACAGTCTTTGTAAAAATATTTGAATCAATAGTATAGTAAATTCCATTTAGTAGTTTTGAATCAATAGTATAGTAAATTCCGTTTAGTAGTTTTATTTTTCATGTTTCAAAATATTTCACGATATGAAAAAACAAAATTTATTATAATTGTATTAACTCTTTAAATATTTATCTAAGCAGTTCTGATATATAATATGTTATATATAGTGTATTTAATTTAATTTTATATTATACCAATTTGATAAAAATTGGAATCAAGGATGGACCCAAAATAATTTTAGCATGAACAAATATATATAATATTGAAACTAGATTTAATTAGTATATATCATTATTATAAAATATATTACATATTTGTAATTATATTTATATATTATGTTTAAAATTTATGTATTTAGTAATTAATATATTAATTAATACATTATTATTAATATTATTATTATTATTATATATTATTATTATTATTATTATATTATTTTTTTGTTTTGTATGTTGTGTGTATCAATGCTTTTAATATTATGGCAAAAGGTGAGATAGCCCGGTGACTAATAGGAAATTTTATCCCATACCCCTACAATTATACCCAAACTCCTGCACTAAAAATTTTTGGACCAAAATATCCTTGTATAAAAAGTTATAATTTTTTGGTTTGTTTACCGGAATACTTTTTTGGAAGTCTTCCGGTTCACTTTTTTTTGGTTTGTTTACCGGAAGACTTTTTGGATTGGAAGTCTTCTGGTTCACATTTTTTTTGGTTTGTTTACCGGAAGACTTTTTGGAAGTCTTCCGGTTCACATTTTTTTGGTTTGTTTACCGGAAGACTTTTTGGATGTCTTCCGGTTCATGCTTTTTTTTAAAATTTTTTTAATATTCAAATTACGGAAATTTTACCTCATACCCCTACAATTATACCCATACTCCTACACTAAAATTTTTTGGACCAAAATATCCTCGTATAAAAAGTTATAATTTTTTGGTTTGTTTACCGGAAGACTTTTTTGGAAGTCTTCCGGTTCACATTTTTTTTTGTTTACCGGAAGACTTTTTGGATTAGAAGTCTTACCGTTCACATTTTTTTTGGTTTGTTTACCGGAAGACTTTTTGGAAGTCTTCCGATTCACATTTTTTTGGTTTGTTTACCCGAAGACTTTTTGGATGTCTTCCGGTTCATGTTTTTTTTTAAAAAAAAATTTTAATATTCAAATTACAAATATATTTATTCTATTTACTCTATTTTAGTTAATTAATATATTTATTCTATTTATTTATTTAATAATAATTATTCCACTAATTTGATTTTTTATTAATTTACTATATTTATTTACTTAATAATAATTACTCCACTAATTTGGTATTGTTTTTTTTAATCAATAAAAATAAAAGTTGTTAACTAATTTATATATTGATTGTGTTCTTTAAAGAAAGAAAATTAACAATTTAATAATATATTTATATGAAAAATAAAAATAAATATCATATTTAAATTATAATCCTATCATTTCTTCTATCAAAAATTTTCACCAAAAAATTATAATATATAACATTTATAATTATTTAAACAATATTTTATGGGGTAAAATATTAACTTTTAAAATTATATTTTATGGGGTAAAATATACTTTTAAAAATTTTCACCATAAAATATTAACTTTTAAAATTTGTAGGGGTAAAATATTTTATGGGGTAAAATATTAACTTTTAAAATATTAAAAACTAATTAAATCATAAATATTTCCTTCCGAGTAATTGTGGTGTCTCAAAATCCTCAAACATATCTAGAATCACAAAGTCGACTGAAAATGATAGAACATTTACTCTTACCGAGACATCTTCAAGAATTCCATATGGGCATGTGATTGATCTATCCGCCAGTGTTAGAATCATTTGAGTAGGTTTCTACTCACCATATTTTAACTTCCTCATCATGGACAATGACATCAGATTGATGCTATCTCCTAAATCACACAGAGAAATGTTAATTGTTCTGGCCTGGGCCCAGCCTCGCGATTCAGCCCAATAACGCACAA